CCGAGTTGGGCCGCCGGAGGATGGCCGAGAAGCGGCTAGGAGAGGGTGTTGGACGGTGGGGATAAGGTGGAAGGGGAAGATAGGGTTAGAGAGAAAGTATCTTGCTGCTAAGTTAGTTATATAATCCTGCTAGGTTAGTTGTATCTTACTGCTAGGTTAGTTGTGTGATGCTGCTAGGTTAGTTATCTGATGGTTTTAGGTTACTAATTGCTAGGTTAGTTATATCTTGCTGCTAAGTTAGTTATATAATGCTGCTAGGTTAGTTTTCTGATGGTGCTAGGTTAGTTGTATGATTGTGCTAGGTTAGTTGTCTAATGGTGCTAGGTTAGTATTTGCTAGGTTAGTTTTTTGATGGTGCTAGGTTATTTGTGTGATTGTGCTAGGTTAGTTGTCTGGTTGTGTTATGTTAGTTGCCTGATGGTGCTATGTTAGTATTTGCTAGGTTAGTTGTCTGATGGTGCTAGGTTAGTTGTCTGATTCTGCTAGTTTAGTTGGCTGATGGTGCTAGGTTAGTTGTTTGTAGTTGCAAATACATGATGAAAATTTGCAGGATCACATATCAAAACTTTGAAAGGCCATAACTTTGCGTAGAAAGCTCCGTTTTGGACGAATTTTTTTTTATTTGGGGTAGCTCGACGAGATCTATGCAACTGCAAACTGCCGAAGGCGGTTTGGCCACCCGAATTTTCAAAAAAATGCCTTTTTCTTGCTTTAATTTCATTTTTAAGAAAAAAATACGTTTTTTGTATTTTTAAACCTCTATATCTCCTCGATCGAGACTCATTTTCGAAGTTTTTTTTCTTTCATAATAATTCTCTCAACTTCTATTTTATGTACCAATTGGAAAAAAAATAGAAAATGCATAGTTTCTGCAGTTGCTAGGTTAGTTGTCTGATGCTGCTAGGTTAGTTGTTTGATTGTGCTAGGTTAGTTGTCTGGTTGTGCTAGGTTAGTGTCCGCATTTTAAGAGCTGGCCTCATTTTAAGAGCTAGCCTCATTTGATCCGCCCCCTATATATATATATGTATTCATTAATATGATATTTTTTTAACTATTTGATAATATAATAATAATTAGCATAAATTCACATTATAAGTATAAACGTTATACACTTATAATACTAAAATTTGAGTAAAACTTTTTCATCATTCTATTTATTGTACATGAATATATCTTTTAATTTTTAACTTTTATATCACAGCGAAGGATGTATATCGGCGTCGAAATGCGGCTAAGATGAAAAGGAGATGCAACGATTTAACTGCAAATGATAAGCAAGTATATATTGATAAAAACAAATAAACGTCGCAAGAGTCAAAATATGGGTAATGCATGTCTTGATACTGATAAAGTTTCTTGTGGATCGGAAGGCATCATAAGTTTTAACTTTAACTCGACGAAGCACAAACATATTAACGGATCTTATACTATTTGATAATATAATAATAATTAACATAAATTCACATTAGAAGTATGAACGTTATACATTTATACTACTAAAATTTATAGTAAAACTTTTTCATCGTTCTATTCGTTATACACTTATTAAATTTATAGTAAAACTTTTTCATCATTCTATTTATTGCACATGAATATATCTTTTAATTTTTAACATTTATATCACAGCGAATGATGTATATCAGCGTCGAAATGTGGCTAAGATGAAAAGGAGATACAACGATGTAAGTGCAGATGATAAGCAAGTGTATATTGATAAAACAAATAAACGTCGCAAGGGTCAAAATATAGGTATGCTGGTCCTGATACCGATAAAGTTTCTTGTGGATCAGAAGGTTAGCAATATTTTATTCTGTAATACAAAATATATACAATTGTTTATGAGATCCAAATGAGTGGTATATGTTTTTTTATACTTAAGATTTTTTTTCCTGTATTATGTCAATCTATCATCATGCATTTCACTTTCCACGACTAATATTGTTAGAGATGTAATTTTATTAATACTTTAACCATGTCTTCGGTGTACATTTATTATTAATTTTGATTTACCCATAAGTATCACTAATAAAACTTTCCCTTGTTAAAAACATTGCATTTATCACTTAATAAAAAATCTATTAACATAATATTGATTTATATTATATTTAATGTGATTTTCTATAGATATACTATTGTCCATATTTTATTATTCTTATACAAAAAATAAAAAATTAGGCTTTTCATTCATTTATGTGATTTAATAAATAATATGTCAATTTTTTTAGGTTCACTTATGAAAGGGCATGTATGTTTGGCGATACATGAGTTGAAAAAAAATGCCAAATTACATGCATTGCGGTGCTATGAAATTTCAGTACGAGTGTCCAACATTTTGCTGTGATAATGGGATAGTCAAACTTGCTCCTATTGAAGTCCTGATGAATTATATGAATTATTCACTTCACAAACAGAAGAGGCAAAACAATTTTGAATAAACTTCGTTTATTTAACAACATGTTCTCTTTACATCAGGAGTCAAATTAGATGAACAACTTGCTTCTGCAAGACAAGGAGTTCATACTTTTCGTGTTCAAGGAGTAGTGTATCATGATCTTCCTAGCTTATTACCTAAAGAAGATGGACTTGGATATTTTCAGTTGTATTTTGTAGAAACCGAATGAGAGACCGAAAATAGAATGGGCATATTTCCAAACTCCTCTTTATCTGAATGTACGGTTAACAAACTCATTAGTGTTTTGGATGTAAACTCATATGCAAAAGTTTTTAGAAAACTGAAGGACTATCCATCATTGGGTGAAGTTCGGCTCCATATCTCAAAGGATGCCAAATTAGACCAGCGCGTTTATAATTGTCCAACAACCGATCAAGTCGCAACAATATAGGTTGAAAGAAATAATGTTAATATTCCCTTTGAACGTGAGATTGTTATCCATGCACATTCAGGTGATAGAGATAGAATAAAGCATTATTTTTTATGTTATGATCCATTGCACTATCCCCTTCTTTTTCCAAAAGGTAATGTTGGTTGGCATCAAAACATTTTGAAGTTAGCTGGTAACAAAAGACGTGCAAAAACAAAGTACGATATCATTTTTATTTTATGTTAACTACTTTGTATTTTATATATTGGTATCACATTTCTTTAATTAATTTTTTTCAATTACATTTTCAGGTCTCAGTGAAAATATTTGTAGTATCTCATCAATCTCAAGTTTTTCGTGTCCAAATGATATCCTTTCTGTTGAATGCCAAGGTATACAATTTTTATTAATAAAACTTCAAATTTTATACGTAATTGTGACGAGGATGTTACATGTTTTATTTTTATGCCGTCAAATATTTATTTATTTTATTTTATTTTTATTTACATATTTAACTTCCTTATCAAGTTTATATCACAAAGTTTTACATGTACTACTTATAATTTTATATCATTACATAATAATTGTTTATATTCTTTATTATTTTGTTAAATTTGTAATTGTAAATGTAAAGAAATTATTGTGATAGATTATTTTTTAATTGTTCATTGCATACTATATTATTGACAGTTGTTGGAAAAGAAAGCCCAAAAAAGGTGTCATGCAAAGAATATAGTTGCTACATATTGCAAATTAGAAGTCCAAGAGAATCAACACTTCTCCTTGGTCAAAGGCTATTTCAGTTGTTGACATGTTACATGTACATAAAACTGGAGACAACAAGATTGAATTATTTTCACTATAATCAATCAAACATGAGAGCTGAATCATACCAAGGAATTAAAGATAGTGTAAAAAAGGGAGAAACTAGAGGAAGTGAAGTTGGAAAATAAATTGTGTTACCTGCATCATTTATTGGAGGACCAAGAGATATGCGTCGTAGGTATCTTGATGCATTAACATTGGTGCAAAGATTCAAAGAGATCAAAGAGTTGTTGTATGAAGGGCAACGAGCCCAGGATTGTCCAGATTTGACGGCAAGAGTGTTTCGAGCGAAATTGCAAGATTTGAAGGATCAACTGTTTAAGAAGAATACATTTGGAGATGTAGCTGTGCATGTTCACGTAATTGAATTTTAAAAAAGAGGATTGCCACACGCTCATATATTGGTGATTATATGTTGGCTTTCGTACATATTTTAAACAATTTTTTTATTGTTAGTTCATTACCACAACAACATTAATTAGCAAAAAAAATTTACACCACGTGCAACGCACGTGCACTTTACTAGTTGTAAATGAAAAGTCTCTTATAATGCTATTATCGGTATCATCATGCAAGTAAGAGCTACATATATTAATTACTGATTGTAAATGATAAGACTAATAATCATTAGATATAAAATCTTACAGCAGACGATGATAAATTAAAAACATAATTACATCCCAACACCTTATTCAAAAACACACACATTAGAGTCTAAAATCAACATACCACACAAATATTGAAGCTTAAAGTCCTCTGTCAGCAGCGAGGTCCATGCATAATTTGTTGACAGAGCCATTATGGATTTCGACCCAACGCTCTCATGAGCCTCCTCCATTGGATAATGAAATACACATAAACATTGTCCCACATTTTCTGAAAGAACCCATAATAAGCTTCCCTCCATTTCTTCTTAAACAACAATACAGAGAGGACAGCAGAAAGCCCAACAGCGTACCCAAATGATAAGAATACGTAAAACCAGTCAATCTCTCGCTTATTGCTTTTTCTGCCTTGAATCTGCACTTGTGTCATGGCAGGGGAATTACCATCATTTTTGCAAGAAATCCTCAGTGGAAGGCCACAAAGACTGTTGCCGATGAAGCTCGACTCGTTGAAGCTCTCAATTTGGGTGCTTTGTGGGATTCTCCCTGTCAAGTGGTTATATGACAAATTCAAGCTACTCAAAAAAGACATGGTTGTGATGCTACTTGGAATCTCACCCGATAATGAGTTCATGGAGAAATCAAGAGATTCGAGTTGCTTCATGTTTCCAATGTTGTCCGGGATTGATCCTGTTAAATTATTTCTCGACAGGTTCAGTGATCTGAGTTCAACTAGACTTGTTATCTCCATTGGGATATCACCAGACAAATTGTTCATAGAAAGGTCAATATTCTTAAAATGAAAGAGACCGGAGTCATAAGTGAGTTCTCGTCCCTTTGTGACAATTGATGCACTTTCCCCATACCTATAATCAAACGGAACTCCTTCTTCAGTAAATGCAGTAAGATTGTTGAGACAAGTAGGCATTCTCCCTGAAAGTTTGTTATGAGAGAGATGCAAGTTCAGAATATTGGTTAGCTGACATATGGATGGACTGATCTCACCAATGAATCTGTTTGACCGCAAGTAGAGAATCCTCAGCTCATGAAATCTTGTGTCAATCCATTTCGGTATATTCCCACCAAGATTGTTATAAGAGAAGTCGATCTTAATTAGTTTCGTGCAGTTTTGCATTGAAGAAGGTATGTGGCCAGAGAAATTGTTGCCATATAGATTCAAAATCTCTAAACTTTTTAGAAATCCTACGGAATCAGGTATTCTTCCGGATAATTGATTGTTGCCTAAGTCCAACACTGTCAATGATTGCCATTTCACGAAACAATCGGGTAACTCGCCAGACAGGTGGTTACCCTCGAGATCAAGATATTGCATTTTGTTGGGCATTGTGTTACAGAGAAGTTCTGACAAATCTCCGTCGAGTTGGTTATGGGAAAGGTCGAGAGCATTTAAACTCCATAACCAGCTGGGAACGTTTCCATAAACTCCAGTCCACGACAAATCAAGTTCGTGAATACTCTCTTTCTGAGTTTCAAGCCATAACGGAATTCGAGAGTCTGATCCCAAGTCCCAATATCCGAGACCAAGCATCTCTAGTTTGAATGGTGGAATCCAATTGGAGTTGACTTTCAAAGTCAAGTGGTTTCCAGAGGCATACAAGTGTTCTAAATTTGAGAGATGGGCAAAGTGGGTTTCAGTCACAACCCCTTGCAACATGTTATTCTGTATCCGAAGCATTGTCAAGTTCACAAGTTTCCCTATACTCTCTGGTAAGTTCCCCCTAAATTTATTATTAAACAAATCTAACCTTCCAAGAGAAAGCAAGTTCCCTATTTCGTTTGGAATTATACCGGACAATGAGTTGGAGCCAAGAGCCAGGGATTGAAGACTCCTAAATCCTCCAAATTGATGAGGCAGATGACCAGAGAGCTGATTGCTTGTTAGATCTAAGTCTTCCAGAGCTCCTAGAAAACAATCAGACATGTTTCCAAATGAATCCGATATCTCTCCTCCGAAATTATTACCATATAAATTCAATGTCTGAATATTGCACAAGTTTGCAATTTCTCTTGGTATTTTCCCAGAAAGTTGGTTTTGACTTAAATCGAGGGTACTGAGAGAAGTCAGATTCGCTATGGAATTGGAAATTCCATCCCTTAGAAGATTGAATGCCAGACTCACATATTCAAGGTGTTTGCAGGAGTAGAGCCACTGTGGAATGCTTGAATTCAATTTGTTACTGTAGAGATCAATGTGTTGGAGTTTTGTGGTATTGCTCATTGTTGGAATTGGGCCTTCCAACAAGTTTTCGCTCATATCAAGATAGATAAGGTTGGTGAGTTGAAAAACCCACGGAGAGATGATGGCATAAGACAGGGAATTGTAATTTGAGGAGAGATCAAGAATGGCTAAACTAGAACGGCTGATGTTGTTAGCATTATTCAGAGGAGCCATCAAATTAAGATTACAATAACTCATTTGCAGCTCAACTAAAGAAGGGAGGTTGTTGATCACCTGTTGTGCCCAATTGGTTGCTTTGCTGAGATTCACACCATTCATGTTGAGGTGCTCCAGTTGAGAAAGTCCCGACAACCATTCAAGACTATCAGCATTCAGAAGTTGTTTTGGAGTACCCAAACTTAGAGAGTGCAAATTTGAAAGGTTTCCAATATTATGGGGAATCTTTCCATAAAATCCAGCAAATGATAGATTCAAGTACTCGAGGCTTGTGAGCGATCCAATGAAAGAAGGGATTTCTTCCTCAAAGTTGTTATGGCTCAGGTCAAGATATTCCAAATGCTTCAAGTTGAGCAAAGATGAGTTTATTTTGCCACCTAAAGAATAATTACCTTGGAGGTGGAGTTCAAGAACTCGGCCAGTTAAGTTGCTGCAGACAACACCTTTCCACGTGCAACAATCGAACTTAGCAGCATCCCAAGAATACAACACGTTTGATGAGCCGTTGAGAGATTGCTTGAAGCTTAAAAGTGATTGTTTTTCGATTTCAGGGCAGTTGATACATTTGCCTAGTTTGAAGGACATGAAAAAAATAGCTGAAAACAAAGCTGCAAGAATAGAATGTTTATGTGCACTCATCGTCATTATCTAAATTTGCAGAATTTGTTATTGGACTTTGAAAATTTGAACTGATGTTGGTATGGTACATAGCACACTGGCTATTGGGAGCTTTATATATACAATATGTACAGGGACGTGGTGACCCTTTTCAATTTCATGCCCTTCGTAGGAGTAAATTTTATTGCTTTTGAAAAGTATGAAAACTTATTTTCCTTCCAGATTGCTTTTTTTAATGATTTTGTAAAATTTTAATAATTTTGTAAAATTTTAGAATTCTGATATATCCAATTGAATTTTGTTTGAGACTTGTAAATAGTATACCTGTGTGTATATATGAAAAACGACTTTTAAAGGCTTTTGTTGAATAGTAGTTGTTATTTACTATATACACTCATTTAAGTTTTGTATATATTTTTTTTTTTTTTTT